ATGTCGCTTGTCAACCTATTTTCTTTTTCTCTCTCTCCCCCAATTTAAAGAAGAGATTAGTCCTTTTTGTTTCTAGCATTTATGCTCTAGTCCCTTTTCTTCTAGGTTTTTCTTTTTATTTCTGTCACTGAATCTTTAATAAAAGTTTTATTTACTTACAATTTAGTCCTTCAATCCTAAATATTGATATATCATGTTTTTTAATTTCATCCTTTAATTCAATTTTATTTCGTGTTATTGTTTTCATTTTGATCCTTATTATTTTTTTTATTTTTTTTATTTTTCTCTTTAGTTTAGCTCTCCCGGTGAAAATTTTTGTCTTCTTTTCTTGTAATTGTTTTTGTCCTTTCTCCTTTCTCCTTTCTCCTTTTAAACAAGTGTTATTTCTTTTCAATTTAATTACTAAATTTTATTTTTTTATTATTTATTTTATTATTTGGTTCTTATTCTTTGAATTTCTTTTTTTAAACCTTTTATTAAAGTTTTATTGTCTTGTAATCCTACTCTTCAATCGAGGTTTATATTGTGTTATTTATTTTTTAATTTTGCCTTATTCTTTTATTTTTTTCCTTTCATTTTGCTTTATTTTTTTAATTCAACCCTTCAATTAAAAAAATACAGTTGCCCTCTAATTTATTTTTTATTTCAATTTTCATGCTCATTCTTTTAGTTATCATTTTTTTTATTTTAGAGTTTTTTCTATGTAGTTAAGTTTTTCCTATTATGTTCTCCTGTGTTTGTTGACCTGTTCCAATTTTCTACTAGTTTTTTATCTAATTTCGCGTTGCTGTTATTTTGTTAATATATCATGATATTCTTAAAAAAAATATTCCCAATCAATATCAGTGTTTTTTTACCATCTAATGAAATAAAAACAAATTATTAATCTTTATCGGTGTTATAACTCGAAAATTAACTATATACATCAAGATTGTTAAAATTACGGGTTAACTCTTAAAATCTTATGATTTTACGAGTGAACATGTATTTAACATACTAAATCAAACTAAAAACTCAAAATCAGTAGAATCAGACTTAACTCATATAAAATCAGTAAACTCAGTTCGATTTTACGAGTTTACTAAATTTATGATATAAATCAAGTTAGGTTCAAAATTGGCCTTAAAATGCATGTTGGCTAGTTTTACAAGATTGAACATATCTTTCAAACCATATATTGGATAAAGTTGAAATTTTACAGGGAAATATTATATACATAAAAATATATCATGATAATTTTTAAGGTTAAATGGAGATAGAAAACATAATATTTCAGTGGTTCAAAGTTAATAAACTAATTTTATTAAATATGTTAAACAAGACCTTCGTGTATTATTTGGGACATATCTTGAGCTACCGGTGGAATTTTGCTTCAATTAAAGTTGGGATAGAAACTAGACATCTGAAACTTAATAACTATACATCATAGGCTTAATAATTCATCCAATCATGAGAGAATGACATGTTTGAAATCAGAACTCAAAGCTGTCAAGAATATGTAAAAATTGAAGATTCAGACTACATAGAAAAATTTTAACATAAAGACTTTTTTTATTATTTCATTTTTTATTTTTAATTAAATTTTTTTATAGTACATTAGACATTGTTTAGGAGAATTTTTTATAGTACATTAGACATTGTTTAGGAGTTTTTATTATTATTGAATTTATATTAGTTAATCACTAATTTAAACTTTTTAGTTTGCAATCCAAAAAGAACTTATTAAGACTTATTGTGATGGGAATAACAAAGTTATCACGAGGTTACTAGATTTATATGTAATTTTTACCTTTCAATGGTTTTCATGCATTGAAAAATTTTGTTATGAGATTTTTTATATCACGAGATTTATATGTAATTCTTACTTTTCAATGATTTTCATGTATTGAAAAATTTTGTTATGAGACTTTTTATTTTTCTATGTCATTAATTTTTCTATGTAATTAATTTATTGATTTATATTAACTACCTCCCTCATTTTATTTAGATTACTTATTGATTATATAAATTATCTATCTCTGTCATTTTATTTAGATTACTTATTGATTATAATATTATTGATTTATTTTTTTATAATTTAATATAAATTAATTTTTTGATGAGAATTATCAATATATAATTAATTTTAAAAAATTAATTAAAATTTTATTATTTAAATTTATAATTTAAATTTATATTGTATTTTTCTATATCATGTTAAAAATATATTTTTGTAATCTCAAGCATCGTTTTTTGCTTAAAAAATATAAACCCGGAGCACGGCCATGACAAGCCTGCGTGGTAAAGTGGAGTTTTTTTTTTTATAAAAAAAATAGCATAGTGGTTAAAAAATTTAACCAAAATATCACGGATGAAAATTGATTTATAAAAACAACACAATTTATCATTGATACGCGCAGGTCTATGGGTGACCAACAACGAGTTTCAACACGTGCATTTTTCAAAAGGCAGATGCATTTTTCCACCCTTTCAACTTGCAGTTGGTCAGGCATGTGAGATCTTTGCGTCTCAGGGCTACGTGCGTGAGACTCGAGCATCTCAGCAAGCTATGCTATTTTTATAAATAAGATTTCAGATGTGCTATTTCAGAAATTCCTTTTGTTACTGTGCTTTTTTTTTTAAAAAAACTCCAAAATCAGTGAAGACGGCACCGTTTAAATTCACGAGGAAACGCCCACGAACCACCCCCTTTCCTTCTCATCGTCTAAAAGTAGCGGCTGCGAGTAACGAGTCTAGCGACACCAGATAAGGTAGAGAAACTGTATATTATTCTCAATTTTGCTTTCGGGTAGACAAGGAAGAGGAGAAATGGAAATCTCTGGGAAATCAAAGTCGCAGCCAGTGAACATGAAGGTGGTGAAACCAATTGAAGCAACGCCAGAGAGCTTTAAAGAGTATGGTCAAGTAATAGAGGCATCGCCTGATGGTGAGGAGTATGGTCCCAAAGATGCCCAGCTAAACCTTAGCCAAGGAATTCCAAGGTAACATCAAATACATGGTTCACAGTCACTAATCTTGTTCGTATATTTTAGGGTTTCTTTTTTCTTTCGGTTTTAAGGGGTCAGCGTATTCTGGGGCCAAGTTGCGCGCACAGTTGGAGATTGTTAGTTTCCGTACGATCATAGGCAGTATTGTGAATGATGTTAGCACATCTTTTGTTTGTTAATAGGTTTTACATTATGAAGCTGGAAAAAAGGTCACTGAAGTTTTCAACGATAACGCACCATGCTAACGTGACTCAATGCCTTGGATCAATTGGAGGTGGGGTCTGGTATCTAGGAGTGGCTAAGCCATCGATTGTGGAAACGAAAGAAAATGCAGGGAGTGATTCTATGCAGTCAAAATGCGGTCATTGTTATGTGCCTCCTGCTGTTGATAAAGTCCAGGTTTTCAGAATCTCTGGGTCCAAGTTTATTAAGCTTAATATTGGAACTTGGCATGCGGGGCCATTGTTTACGCCAGAGACAATGGACTTCTACAACTTGGAATTGAGCGACACCAATGTGAGCCTCTTTCTCTTTTCAAGCTTTTTTTTTTTTTTAATTTCACTCATCTTCTATGGATATTCGTTTCTTCTCATTGTTTTTGTGAGAATTGTTTGTATTTGTGCATGCACGGTGTGTCTGCTAATCGAAGTTGAGTTGTTTTGAATTTAGCTGTTGAAAGAATGAATCAAATCTAAATGGACTCTTGCCAACTTATCTGGTTTAGCTACTTGGGACAGAACGCGTCAAAAAGGAAAGTTAGAAACCTCAATTGATTCTGATGATTCAATATCGACAGGTTTTCTGTCATTGCATTTATGTGCTTCACTAATCAGAATCTGTTTTAACAGAGCTCAACGCCGATTCTAATGATCATAAATTTTCATAGTTGCACGTTTCTTCTTATCTTGCAATCACCTACAACTTAATTTGCCCCTTCCTTCAGCTCCACTCTGCCTTCCTTTTTCTTTCTCCCCCTGTTTGGCTCCCGTGCCTCATAAATCGTTGTGTGCCAGTGCTCAAATTGAAACACATGTGATTCATTGAGATCCTTTGAGTTAAAGGTAAGAGTTGAGCTTATTTATCTGCTTCCTTAAAACTTATGTTAAACTAGGGCAAGGCAATCCATTCAGTGCTTGGATTTGAAAATTTCCCTTCAACTCATTCCATTATCTTTTGAAGGGAAAATTTGTGTTTTATACTTGTGAGATTGGGTTTTACTATCTTTAATCCATTCCTAGTGTACCTTTTAGAACACCTTCCAGGAGTCCCCATTTAGCATTTAGGCATGTCAACAATTTATGAATTTTACTCTGTAAATACGAAAGTATATGAATCAAGGACGTTTTGTGACTTCGGTCTTTTTTTCTTTGCAGGTGGTGGATCACACAACACACAACTTCAAGCAGCAAGATGGGATTGTTTTTGTAATAGATGACTAATGTATAGGGCGGAAGAACTTCGGGAATTAAGCAGGAAACACGTCTCTGTTGTTGCAATAAATATGCATTCCTCAACTTCTGGAAAAAGGAAAGCATTTCTATCTAAGCTCTCAAATTCCATGCATCTCTGGACTTTAAGCTGAAAAATAGGCGATGAACGTTTTCTCTAGCTGTGATGGATTGATGCAATCCATGACAGGTTATGAAAGAGTCTGCGGGAATTCATCTTTACTATCAGCAGGCATTTTCAATATCCCCAGGAAAATTACGATTCCATTTACCAGTCAACGAGCGTGGACATCTATGTATTTACGGGACACCAAAAAACTTGAAGGCTCATGCATTATCACTGATTTCTGTACCCACCAATCCACAAGATACCTGGTCATAGCAACACGATGACGATGATGCATAGCCAACCTTTTCAATTTCAACCCGTTCAAGTTGCTTTTTAAGAATGAACAGATGGATGGAAAAAAATGTTCGATTGGCGCGTTATGAAATTTTGCGAGTGCAGACTCAAGTTCTCACATGCATATGCCAGCATTCATATTTGGAGAGGTTAGTCAAAGAAGAATGGGAATCAGGAAAAATTTCATTCACTGTGGTCTACAAATAGCTCACCCAGAATATGGGGGCAAGGATAAATGTTTTGGTCAATTACAAGAGATCTTCAGCTGTTCAAAAACAATGATTTTACAAATATTCAAATTATGCTGCTAATGCATCAAACAGATGATCATTTCATCTAAGAAAACAACAGAGGTCCAGTTGCTAGTCCAGTTGAGTTGCTGACACATTGAAATTGTCTGTGTTGCCGTCAACCCATCATCTGAAAAATTTAACGTCAATAGTCCAAGTAAGAATTCTGCTTGTTAGAAGCATTATACTTTCCATTTGAACAAACATTATCTTGCATATTTCACACACTGCTGGAAAAAAAAGGTCAGATTACATTCTCATTGAAATGGGACAAAAAATTGCATTTTTGGTAGATATAAAGCAATTGTATCTGTTATTATAAACGTAGCATTTGACGAGATCAAATTCTGTCCCAGTTGATAGTATCAATCCTGTGACATATTTGAACTCAGCAAAACACGTGTTGCAGAATACTAGATGCAACATCGTTAAGAATTTTACCTTGAAAACATCTCCAAACATCTCTTGCAAGGGATTCCTACGTTGTACACCATAGAACAACTCTGCAATTTCATCTAGTCGCTGATCCGTAATCCATAATCATGTTAGAATTTGAAGATGCAGAAAAGGTCATCACAAGCCACAAACATCAAGAAAGTTACAGCATCATAAAGAAGAGCAGCAGGAATGGTGCAGCAAAGAAATAGCTAGATAAGAGGTCCATTCTTGACCAACATGGAAACCAATAACGAAAATGCTAATTAGCCAGAAAATTGCACACCTCGTTGAATGCAGGTTCCCTGTCTATGCTTGACTTGTAATTAGTTCTCAGCATATTGAAAAGAGGTAAAGCATCTCTTTGCAACCTGTGCAGAAAAGAATTTATGAACTTATTTTACATGGATAGAGAAGACATCTAAAATGACATACTTTCCCGGAAAAACTCAAAAATGAAGCTGGCTAAAATGGAGTAGCTATTATTCCACTTTAAGGACAGAATTCCAACGAATCCATTTGCTAGCAGCATGATATAAAGATGTCTCAAAATTAAACTCTACACAGTATTCCTGTATGGAAGAAAAAATACAACTTACGTTGGCAGAAGATGATTGATGAATTGGATCAAATCTGATCGATGAAGGTCATGCTCCTTATATTGTGCATGCTTCTTTAACTCATCCATCAGAAAATTAGCATCTCTAAGACTACCCATAGCTAAATACCTGTCACAGAGGAAGAAAATTACCTAGTAAGTTGGCATTCCACACGACTACAATTACCTAATGGGAAAAGGATCAGGAATTGCAGGGTTATGATTGATATGTCAAATAATTTTTGCATTAATAAAAGTTAAACAGTAGACAAATATTTTAATGTTTTAGAAGTGTTTACATTAAAATTGCTCGTGTAATAGCCAAATCATCTTCACCAGGATAACACTGCATGGTGAAAAACCCATCAAAATACTAGCAAGTGAAAAATAAAACCGAGACTTAAAAGACATGAAATATGGCATCAAATTACTGGATAGTAGATATGCTATTTCTGGTCTGTTCGGCATGAGATTACAGCAACCATGACTTCTAGTAGTAAATGATAAATAAAACATTAAAAATTAGCAGAGTACATATTGATACTATAAATCAGACATACTTCATTAATCTTATATATTAAATATAATGACAAGTCATTAGCCAAAAAAAATACTTTATCAACATATGTTATTAATATACAATAACAATGACATTAATGGAACATTATAGATACAATCCACATGAATAATATTCCTCTATATAGAATTAGAGAAGACTAACCTTGCCCATAAAATTGACTAAAGTAGATGCAAACTTCTTCAGGTTGTTTCCTCTAACAAAATGATATGATACTCTAGTCATGTCCTGCATATAAGTAGCATATAGCAGAGACCACATCAAATAGAAATGATCTATAAAATCACATCAGGCATAATATGGATCTCCATTTTCCATATCACCACTTACACAGTGCATAGTGAGAAAATATTAGGATAGCTTCGAAGGCATAATGAAAATTTGTTAACCAGAAAAAAAAAAAGTCCACTGGATCTGCCAAAGCAGGTTAGAGCAGGAAACAGCCATCCAGAATCAAATGAATTGGAAACACTATATCATTGCTAACATGATTGTAAGAACCTAAAAGAAATAGCATCTTCTCCGAGCCAAAGAAAAATAATCCAACCAAGAGCCAACCTCAGTAGCAATTTTACTAACAAATCATTTCAACCAAAAGTTTATAGCAAACTTTGACCTCAGACCTACCAGCTCAGGGGACTCAGAATAAATATATTCCGCTAGCATAACATGTAGTTCTGGAGAGCCATTCCTATGAGCTCCAAACTCTGCAGACCACCTAAAAACAAAATAGCTCAACATCAACAAGGCAGTTAATTGCAGTGGCACAGGAAACAATTAAAGATGTGGAGACCCACATATACACATTGCACCCCTTTCCTCTCATAGGTTTTGTTTTAATTCATCACACCTTCCCAGCCCTTTCTCATGATACTCTCTGTCTCATACACTTATTTACTCCACACATTATTTGCCCCCTGTCAAATCTTCCCATTGTTTTGTCTCTCTTTGGATGAGAAAAATGTGAAGCTCAAATGCTCCAAAACACCCTCATAAACACATGCTCCACCATGATAACAGCTTCCCCGGCCCAAAAAATAAAACCAACCCCAGATGGCCCACATTAAATGGGATCTATACATGAATTAAAAAACGGTATCATGGGTTATGGTGCCAAGAAAACTAAAGAAATCAGATAGAGAGGCCTTTTTACTATATACACCCTTATACCACCAACAAGGGGACTCTACAGTCCAATCTAACAAGTACAGAAGAGATAAAGGAGGCAAAATGCCATCTTAAAATATTCCACAAAAGCATGTGTATAGGAGGTATCATAAATAAAAGCACATTGCAATTTCCAAAAGAGTAAAAAAACAAGAATATCTCACTTGATAGCAGCTTTTAAGAATGACAGGCAGCAGTCTACACGTATTTTTGCAGCCCCAAGGGCTTCATTGAGTTGTTCCATATCTTCATCCTCTCCCAAGTCTTGTGGCAAAGGTATCTGAGGAAATGTCTTGTAGATTTTTCTAATGCAATCTAAGACAGATATTCAGTCATGATAAATAATGGAAATTGTTAAAAATTTAAATATGAAGCAGCATGGCTATGCAAAAATGTGAGACATGACAATTGAAAATCAAACAATGCACTCTCCCTAAGTTATTTTCAATATCCATATAAACCCTAAATTTTCAGTTACCAGAACAGATCGAGGGAGGTTTCCCCCCCTCTTCTGAGATGTTGGAGCAAGGGAGAAATACAAAGCATTAAGAATCATTCCATAGCATAGAAAATAGACCAAGGGAAAGTTTGAAAGCATTATAAGCCATATCGAAAAGAATATACTAACCAAGTACATCATCATCATAAGGAACTTTTGCTTTAACAAGCGTCTCCACATAGATCACAGCAAGCTCCGACCCACAAGTAACCTGAAATTGGTTTATTATGGAATGAACTCTAATTCCAGAAGTATGAGAATAATCTAGAATCCAGCAATATATCCCATCATGCACAATTAGTAATGCTTTCTTTTTCTGCCATTGTATGTACAAGTTATACAGATATCCAGGTCAGAAACCAACACAAAAACAAAGAGAGTAAATAATCTAGTAAATGGAATGACAGGTGTAGCATGGAACAGCCATGGCCTGACTTTTTCAATTGTAGAAGATTGCTTTGCAGGCCAAGAAATCCATAGCTAACATGCCAGCCCCACTTCAGCTGGACCATTACATCAATTACGCAAAGTTGTATCTCAGCTTAGAGGAAGCTTTGCATTTGTATATCCTTGTATTTGAAATCAAGAACATGAAAAAATTTCAAATAAATTGACAGACGATGCAATTGCTGGTAGTCAGCTGTTTTGATGTGCTTCTTTCATTCCAATACCCCTACTACCCATCCACCCTTGACATCAATCCATTTTAGTTAACAGAGATCTAATGAAGGTTCCTATCATATCAGGCTTTATCGTTTATGTTCTCATACTCATCCTGCAACCAGTCAGACAGAGCATAAACCAACCATCAGCTCATGAAGACAACTTGGGTATGCCAACTTGGGTATGCTAGCATCCAGCTGAAATATTTTCCTTTAACAGGCCAAATTTCATATTCCCATTGGCTTCTACTTAATAACAATATTATACAAAATGGCCACAATCACCTGACAGAAATAGCAACAATGGAATTGAAAGAGAATAACCTGGCCATTTTTCAGTTGGAGGCATGCACCCGAGTGAAGAATGTCCAGAGCTTCAGAATGTCTTTGAGCTGATACGTATCTGTAACAAAGTAAGTTTTAATATCATAACAAAGAATGATCTCAGAAGAGCACATATGGGAACAAGCTTAAACATTTGCGTAAACCTGCCCTGGTTGTGTACCATAACAAAATCACGCTTCTATTCAACTCTAGTTAGACTTGGTAAATTCAAATACCATAGGTTGCACAAGCATAGGTAAAGTAAGATTAACTTGACGAAAAATAAAATACACAATAAAATGAATACCTTGCACTGATAGACTTGTACATCTGCTGAGCTCCATAGTAATTACCCTCATTTATCACATTCTCCAATTTCTTAATATTCTACAATTGACACCACAAACACAACGTAAAGCCATTAGAAACCTATTCTTCCTTGGACAAAAAAAAATGAAAAAAAGAAGAAGCAAACAAACCCCACATTAAATATAAGAGATCACAAGATTTCAAATTTTTTTCATCCAGTTTTCTTAGCTGATATCTGATTTGATAATTTAGAATCAAAATATTATCCTTCCATTGTCAACCTCACATTCAACATAATATATCAATACAACTAATCAAAGCAGCAGAATCACAAACCCAATTTTCTCTGCATCCAAACATAAGTTCAAAGGTTAGTCTCCTAATTCAATTACCTCTTCAGCAGGAGGGAGTGTAGCCCTCCTTGGTCTTTCTCGCGACATGTTGTCTCCCTCCTCTTCTTCACAGACAGATCCAATTCAGTTTTACTTTGTTAAAGAAGACGGACCCCTTTTGTTTTGTTACATTATGGGCCTATATGGGGCCCATAAATGAGCTATAACACTTGAGCCACAGGGCCCAATAAGAATATGGTTGGTTTTTCTTATCAAAATGTACTTTGGAATAAGGTTGGTTGGTTTTTTTAGGATTTATATAAAAAATATGTATTTTTTACTTTTAGAAATGTAATTTATACTTTAAGATAGTTATTTTTAAAAAAATCAGCCAATTCTTTATCCCAAACACACTAATTCCTAGACTTTCTCAGAAACCAAACACAGGTTCAAGATTTGAATTTTTGTGGAAATTAGTTCCAAATAATTACAAGCTTCAAACGTATAAGGGATCTTCTCAAATCTGTCAACAAACACATAGGAAAATAAGGCTACAAGAAGCATTTTGGAGATTATACAACACAGGAGTTTAGAGAGAACTGCAATGTTTTAGACCAATCTTCTGTTCTGCAAAAACTCAAGCTTGCTCGCGAGTACACTTTCTTACTCAACAGCGTGCAGCATCACGAGGTAATTAAATTGCCAATTGGCATCTAAAGTTTTGATTTTTTGAATTTTGTATGATAAAGTTTTTCTCTTTTCCTTGTCGAGAGTGCATATGATTTCCTTTTTGGCTCAAGATTGATGATAATTTATTATAATTTTACATTTTCTTGATATCTTTGAAAGAGGGGCAAAACCCAATTGTGAGTTTTGCTCATTTTGTACTTCTGGTTAGTGCAAGCTAGCTTTTTGAGTGAAGTCCCTTGGACTGAGATATCAAAATCTAAGTTAGGACCAAGTGTAAGTTTTGATTTCTCCATACTTAAGACTACAGGAATTGAACAAGGAGAAGGGTTACCCTTGTAGTGTAACTTAATGCTTGATATTTCTTCCAATGAACTGAAATGATTGTTGTTCTTGTAGGAATGTTCTTCATTCTTTTGTATATGGGTAATTTTTAGCGGAAAGCATTTTATGGTATTGCTTAAATACAAGGCTGGTGCTGGCTATTGTTTTTGCAGGGGTTGCTGTTCTCTTACAACCTTGCTGTGGATAGATCGGATGAAATGAAAAGAATACTAGGAAAATCTGCTGCAAGTGTAGGTATTCAGCTTCCTGAGGCTTATCAGGCCTGATGGTCAGTTGGCTTTGCTCTTCATCATATTGTATCCTAAAATAATCGTGGCTCCATTGTGCCTCAAAAACTAGGAAAGTTGGTTGAAACAGATATATTCAAGCTTAGATTTTGAATGATTTCTTGTTTGTTCAGGAAGAAAATTAGTTCAGAAACTTTGATTGAACCAGATGTTCGACATGCTTCCTTGTTTTGTTTGGAAATTGTGTTATTGGAAATATGGGGAAAATCTGTTAGCTGCTTTTCTGAAATTTTCTTTTGGGTTAGGAATCAAGTTGTTTCTGAATTTTTCGTTACGAATCCAGTTGTTCCCAGATGTACGCGAGTCACCTAACTTTCGCCTTGTCTGATGCTTGCGAAATCATCAATGGCTACGTCTCCTGTTCGAGGATTAGGTGTGTGTGTGAGAGAGACTAAGCAACCCATCTTCACTGTCTTTTTCGTGCGCGGCCGTTTGGGATAATTTTTTAATGAAATTGTCACTGGATATTTTAATTTGGAGGCCAGTTGGCCAAGTATGTTGTCAGATTTTGCAAAGCAGCCAATACAGATGTGCAATAACTTGTTACTTATATGAAGACCGACTCTGAATTAAGATTCATGAGCTAAATGCATGATAATCAAACATGTTCTATGAATCACTCGTATGAATATAAATGGCTAGCTAGAAACGTTCATTATGTAAACCAGTCAAGTCATTAGCTGATTTATTGAAATAACATCCATGTTGTGGTAATAAGCAAAAAAAAAAAACTGTTTGCGTATATCCGAGTACAGTAAAGAAAGCCTGCTTTTCAAAAGATGACGAATGCGAAGGTCGCAAATCCTGTCTGTTACCGAAAGAGTGGTGCCCCATAAGCGTTTCTCCTCTCTTCCCTGAAAATGTTTAAGATGCGGCGAATTAATGAGTTGCTGTACCCTCTTTCAGTGTTGAACACGTCAAAGTCGACTGGTCATGTGGCAACATAGACGGTTCATGATTAAGATTGATTTTATGCCAGTACTTTATTATTAGTTCCCTTCGAGATTTTGCCAGAATGACATCGAAAATAGTTCTTTTGATGTTCGAAGCCAAACTAAACAACAGCCTTTGAGATTCATAGGGAAGAAGATCATGCAGCTAATTGAGTTATAGTACTCAGACCTGGATATGCTATCTTGGTCGAATTCATGAGCAAAGAGCTGAGCTGCCACCATATTAGGCACAATTTCAGTATAGTATCCTGCTCTTTTCACGTGTTGGCAGTAGCATCAAATTGATACTATCAATAGAATCCAGGCCTTGTGTGGACCAGATCCGAGATCCAGTTTCTTAGTACAAGTCAAAAGAAATACTACAAGTTAGCTAAGACCAGACACCTGTGCAAACTTTCACATACGTGGCACCCTAGATCTCTCCGCACGCGACACCATTTTTTTTCTTGTTTTGTCTTGTTTCTCCTGCTTCTTCTTTATTAAATGGAAGTTATCAGTAGCTAGAATTAGGTGCCAGTCAGGATATTCAACACCACCACCATCACCAGCAACAGCAGTATGGGTTCAGCGACATTCCTAGAAGTGATACTGGCCATTATCCTACCACCTGTTGGGGTCTTCCTGCGTTATGGCTGTGGAGTAATTTCTTGTTAACCCTTTTGTGCAATCCTCATTTTATGTTCATATTTCTTTCACTTGGCAAAAAGGGCTGATTGATTTTGTTTTTTTTTTGGGGGTTATTGAAAATGCAGGTGGAGTTCTGGATATGTTTGCTGTTGACCATATTGGGATACCTTCCAGGGATAATATATGCCATTTATGTATTAGTTGGATAGTGTGTAGATCTCTCTTGATGAGGTTTGATATTTGAATGTTCACAGACAATTCAGTTAGCCAGTCTTATTTTTCTTATTATTATTGATCAGTTGTTTTCTCTTTTCGTAAGATGATCAGTGTATATCCCAGTATGGTTTAGATCATGGTGGACTTCCTTGTTCTTAATTTATGACAGCTTACATCATGTCAGATTTCTTGAAGTGGTAACTCAGTTTCTGTTTACCACCGCAAGCGGTGGCTTGACCCGGATAACTCGTTGAGCACGTGAATAGCTTGATTTTAACAGGTCCAGAAATATGTATCTAATCTCAGATGATACGATAGTATTATGCAGGAAAAGAAATTATCCCCGGTCAAAAAAAAAACAAAAAACTAATAGAAAAAACCAGCGACAGTGACTATTTTTTCCTTGATTTATTAAGTTGTTTTACAATCTAGATCGAGGAAAGAGAGTAGGGTAAAACAGAATGGAGAAATTTCATTAAGATATATAAAAGTGAGTGCATGTTTGAACAGGATTCACCGAGTTTTCTCCGATCCAACATCAAACCCGACCTGGTTTCTGAGTTAACCCACTTGTTTTGAGCAAGGCTGGGTTCCATTCTGAATTTGTTTTTAGTACGTGTGTATAAATGAAGCATGTAATAAAATATAAAACATACATGGAATTGAACCAGTCGGGTAAGTGGTGGGTGTTGGCCTGATAATTGATTTGGGCTTACAGGCCCCGGCCATAGAAAAGCCCATCCTTTGTCTAGCCCAGTGAAAGCTGGGTCTTTTGGATGGGGCCCAATTGCCATCCCTGATTTGCATGCATTTGACAGTGATTTTTTAACGACACCGTCCTATCTCATGATCTTTAAAAATCACAATCAGGAATATAAGTTCAGCAAATATTCCATGACATCTGATGTTCCCCTGATTAAATAATAAAGGTGATGTGTTTTTCATTGCAATATTAAAAAAATAAAAATAAAGGAGAGACTGTTCAGACACATGTTATGTTTAAGGTTTTCAGAAACTATTTAGAAGCAACTTGGGCTGCTTTTGTTGCAAGCTGTGTTACATATAGTAAAGAATGGCATGCCTTGTATGAATAGAGAAACAAAGTTAATCAACTCTTTTTTTTTTTTTACTATAATTTCACATCTTCACTATTTTACTATGTAAACGATGGAGTGAAGACTTCACTGTTTACGTCGAAGAAAATGGACTAATTCTTCTTTTTTATTTTTACACTTTTATGACTCTATTATTTTTATACGTGAATAGTAGAGACTTTATTGTTCACATATAAAAGTAGTTGAGCCATCAAAATACAGAAAAAACAAGGAAAAAAAAAGACTTTGCTATTTACATTGAAGAATAGTGAACTATAACTCCCTCGCCGCCATCCAGGATCGCTGCATTTTTCCTTTTCTTTTTTCTACTTTTCTTTTTTTTTTATGCAATTTTTCATGTCTTTATTGTTCTGCCGCGTGAATAATGAAGAGCAACTCCATTGTTAAAGAGTCCAACCTAAATCTAAATGCATTGAATCAGATGTGACCCACTAAAATAAAAAATTTTCAAAAAAAAATCTTAGATGTTGTGTTTTATTTGGAAAACTAATGTTTAACACGATTCAATAGTACTGCATAATTACATTTGAATGAAATCGTATAATGGCATAATATTTGCAGAATTTTATCGTAATTCTAATTCTATCATTGAAGATATTTTACTTTATGTAGTTCCATGCTCAAAAAATCATGAAAACTGCAATCTTTATTGAATAGATTTTATACGTAGTGAAATTAAATATAGTTTAACGCAACAACAAAAAATAATTTATATAAAATATTGTTTATTTTATAATGCAATAGCAATAGGTAAATCGATAGTATTTTAATTAAAAATCATCAATATTAATATATATATCTTTTTTTAATTATTTTACAACCTTAATTTGAAAATCATTATTTAACTATATACATTAAACTACTTTTTGTTCAACATTAATTTCAATTTCAATCATAATTTTAATTGCGCATATATTTTTTCAAATCAATTTTAACTAAAAATCTACGCATATATTTTTTCAAACCAATTTTAACTAAAAATACTTTATATAAAATAATTTTTTTTAAACCATAACTACAATAGCTGCTACAATACCAAACACACTATAATTGTATTACCAAAACTTTTACTTTTTATTTAACTACTTATTAAAAATAAAAAAAGTACTTTGTTAGTCATGTAGCTCTTGCCTTTTGCAAAGCTTATATATTATGTGTTTAAAATTTTAATTTAACGTGAGCTGAAATAACATGTTGTTTTAAATTTTAATTTAACATGAGCTAAAATAATATGTTTTTATTTATGAATTCCTGCTTTTGTTTATTTTATATTAAAAAAATCCATCTATTTTTTAAAAAAACCACAACTAAAATGCATAGGTATTTTGCATTGTGTTTTTACATGTGTTTATGATTTAAAGAATACATTTGACATGAAAAAAATATTAAATTAATATTTATAATTTTTTTTTTATAATTTTAACATATTAAAGTAAAAAAAATTATTTTAATTCATAAAAGTGGTTGTTTTTTTATTGTGGTACAACTAATTATTGTAAGTAGATGTTTAAAAATGCAAGAGTAATTTAAATTATTTTTTATTTGAAAATACACTAAAATCATATATATATATATATTTTAAATTATTTCTGATACAAAATATATATAAAAAATAATTTTAATTAAAATCATATATATATTTTTTAAATTATTTTTAATACAAAATATATATAAAAAATAATTTTAAATAAAAAATTTATTTATTTTAAAAAATAAAATTTCAACCACATTCTCTAATATTGCAAGTTTCGGACTCATGGACGTCAAAGCTGCCACCAGCTGATGGATGGCGTAGGCTTTGTCTGGGCTGTTGAACTCGTCCTGTTTACAGGGTCAGTGTCTACATTCTATCATACTTTGAATCTGTCCACCTATTGATAGCCCATGTTATTTTACTCGCCACAGCTCACAAGGTCCAAAAACCAAAAAGTCAGTAGAACGTATCCGTAATTACACCAAAAGAAAGGCTATTTTAGTCAATTAAACAAAAATAGCAGGCAACCAAACAGCCCTAGCACACCATATATAGTGTCCAATAACCAAATTAGGGTTCCTCTGTTTTTTCTAATAGGCGGCCTCTCTCTCCCAGCATTAAACAACCAATCCCCGTCTCTGGACTCTAGCAGCACTTTCTCTCCGCCAAAATGGGGTTAGTGTATCTCACATCTTCTCTCCCCATGCACTCTTTTATTCTGTTTTGTTAAATCACTCATGGCTCTGTTTTTGTCATTCTGCTTTGTAGTCAACAGAGCTCTAGTGACTATAAGTTTTAGGTTTTTTTGGTTAACTTGAGATCTTGATCTTTTTTTCAAACCGCGTTTTTGTTTTTCTCAAAGTGCACGTTTATTTTGCGGCAAAAACTGCGTTTTTTAAATGATTTTTTTGCACCATCTTGACATGCTTAATTCAAAAATGAATTTTAAAAAATAAAAAAAATATTGTTTTGATGTATTTTCAACCGAAAAGCATTTTGAAAAGTAATTACTGTCACAATGTAAAACAGGCACTAAGGGTCGCTGAGTATACCGTGGGAAGTCCAATAAAATATGAAAGAGTTTGAATCTTTATGTTTGATGTTGCAAACAAAAATAAGTTAAAACTGCGATCTATTGGTGTTTTTCAGTTAAACTTTGTTTTGTGATAGAATGGGATTGTTGTTTCAAACTAATACGTGTCTGCATGTCTGTTTTGACCTACAACTGTAAATAATTTATTGTGTTTCTATGCACGACCCATTATTTGGGTTGATTTGAATCGATTGGATTGTTGGTATTAAGTTTTCTCCTTGACTGCAATTCTATTCACGAAGAAAGCAGCTGAAAAAAATGCTTACATCAATGCTTTATTTTTTAATGTGGTAACCTGTAGATGTAATTAGTGTTTGTGCACTGATAGGTCGTTTCCAATTGTTTTATTAAGAGGAATAGTTGCAATGCTGCTTTGTTTTACCTGCGTGGCAGCTAAGGATAGGATTTAAAGATAACTGGATAGTACAATAGAGAATGGAATGTTTTGTAACTTGGGGAATTTGTATGCAATACAGTAAGACTCGTGGAATGGGAGCTGGTCGTAAGCTGAAGTCCCATCGCAGAAGGCAAAGGTGGGCTGACAAGTCATACAAGAAATCCAACCTTGGAAATGAGTGGAAGAAACCATTTGCTGGGTCTTCCCACGCTAAGGGGATTGTTCTTGAAAAAATGTAAGACTTGTTTCCCATTATTTCATCTTTCAAGGAATGTTTCTGTATTCATAATGCTTACAATTGGGGCATGGATGTTTGTTAATTGGTTTATGCAGCGGCATTGAGGCGAAGCAGCCAAACTCTGCTATTCGAAAATGTGCTCGTGTTCAGTTGATCAAGAATGGGAAAAAGATTGCTGCCTTTGTACCCAATGATGGTTGCTTAAACTACATTGAGGAAAATGTAAGTTCTTTCCATGTTTATAAAGCATGAAAAGTTTATAAGCATAATACCAGAAACTTTTATTAGACAAGCCCAGTTTCTTGTAAAATTTATTCAGCAAGGATATTTATTTCTGAAGATGATTATTGTTTGGAACTTAATTTAGTAATCTGTAGGTTTTGATCTTTTAGCATCTCCTGACACAGTGACACCTAGTTGGATAGTCTGGAACAGCTCTATATCCTAAATTCTTTCTTGATTATCTTTGTGGATTTGTTTGCTCCATTTTGTCTGCATTTTTTATATTGCTTACTTGGCAACAGTTTGTACTTGGAAGCCATCTTCTATTAGAAAGCTTGAAATGTAGATGTCTTGCTATGTTATGGCTGACTCCTGTTTACATGCTCTATCTAATTTATACCTTTCTCTTTTGCTTAGGATGAGGTTTTGATTGCTGGATTTGGACGAAAGGGCCACGCAGTGGGAGATATTCCTGGAGTCAGGTTCAAGGTGGTGAAGGTGTCTGGTGTATCCCTTCTTGCTCTGTTTAAAGAGAAGAAGGAAAAGCCAAGGTCTTAGTTTTACTGGGAGAGATTTTCCTTGATCCAATCTCTTCCCTATCTTACCCTTTCATCTATAGTAGTAGTCTTTATCATGTACGGCAGAATTTTGCAAATGACTTCGAACATGACTGTTTGTCTTGAGAAAACAAAATTTTCGACCATAGTGGTGTTTGAACGACATTTTTTTCTTCATGGTATTGCCCTTTTTCGAATTTTGTTCCACTGTGAATTTTTGTTTTGTTTGTTCTACTGTGAATTATTGATCGAATCTGAGATGGCCTAGCAGCTCTAGGTGTTCCTAATGCAGGACATTTAGTGTCATGCTCGTTATGTTTTATAGTCACGACATTTTAGGCCGAACAGTTTCAAGAGAAAAAAAATCTCTATTGTGAGAAACGGTGAAAAGGCGCATATAATTGAGGCACTGGCTAGAGATGTGTAAAAAAAATAAAGGCAAGCTATCTATGGTTCGATCAAAGTTGGATCTCCATACGCGGATTCACTACCCCGATCTATCTGGTTCCGCAATGGTAAAGTTAGTTGCTTGCCAGCTTGTTCGATAGTTGTCTCTGTTTCTTGGCGTTTCTCATATGGTATCCCAAGCTGACATGTGCGTCATTCACCAGCAGATTACCCAGAATCAGGAGACTCGGAGAGAACCACTGTTTATTGAGTTTCATGGATAAGGTACAGGTTTTCTCCCAATTTTTTTTTATTATTCCGGCAATGTGCTTTATGACCCACATCAATATAGAAGGAGAAGGCGCTTGCATTCAAAATCCACTTATTTTTATGTTATTACTGTGGAGTTAATCGGATAACAAAATTTAAAAAATTGAACACGCTTGTAAATAATGGAGACAGCTAACGGTGAAGGACATTTATTTACTTTAGACTACGTTATCAATTCCCTGCAAAAAGCAATGCCTTGCACGCGTCTGCTCAAGTCATCAACTTGATTTTCAAAACCACCAATGTTTTCTTTATCTTCATCGATTCTATGCACTTTATTTCCACGATCATGCCCCTTGATAACTGCACGCTCTTTCACAGGTTGCTTCTTCTCCTGTAAGCAGACCAGCACCTGCTCCTTTGTGCCTGTTTTACTCACGGACATCGATGTGGCTCCTGCCAGCCGATGCATGCCATATCTTGTTCTATCTGTAGCTCCATTGGCATCACTTGTACCACTACTGTTTTTGGAAGAAGTGCATTGTACACCAGAGGAAAACTTCAGGCCTCCATTTGGTGGTGCTATATCCACGAAATTTTCCTGAGAGAAGAATTCTTCATGCATTTTAAGAATTTACAAGACAATACACTAGATGTGAAATAAACTGTATCATGTCCACTCAGAAAGCATTCAAATAAAAAAGACGAATGAAAAACAACCAACCGCATCAAAATATCCAATCTTCGGCAATGGCATTCGAAGACTTGAAGATGTTAAGCTTTTTGAAACATTGGACCTAACAAGACTGGTTCGCTCGAAGTTTTTGTTTGGTTGCGCTGTCATGAAGCTTGTTTCCTGACTTTCATGTACCAAAGAAGGTTCTTCATAACGACGTCTCTGAGAATTTGTTACTTGAGAGGCATCCTTGCCAAAAGAAATCCCTGTGCATGCTGTGGTTGCAAGAATGGCAGCAAAACCATTTGATCTTGGGTTAAGAACGATGGAAGATGATTCTGAGGACCATCCATCCATGGAACTAGCAGGTGATGGACAAGATGATGACTTGGGCGTGGATAATAAACAGATAGAGTCGCTGGATTTCATCAATTCATTTTTGTTTCCAAATGAATGCTTTGAAGGAGTTCTAGAGGTTGAAACAGAACTAGACACTTGGGAATTAACTGTTCTCCTCAGGGAATCTGGAGGAGATTTACCAGTGAAATTAGGAGCACAGCAAAATCCTCCAAACCCTTTCCCAGCAGTGGGCAAAACTGAAGAAGGTGATTTCACTGGTGGTGCTGAACTTGGGACAATACTGCATGAACCCCGGATACAAGTTTTCTTTGACACAATCTTGGTTCTCCCTATAAGAATAACGTAGAGGCCATTACCAACAACAGTATCTTCTGAGCATGATGAGACAATTTTTGGAATTCTTACCAGAAGCAACTTGTGCACTTTTGTTTTCCAATTTAACATGGTTTACACCCAAAGAAGCCCTTTTGTTGGGAGCTGTGGATAGAGTGCGAGTACGGCATGATATCTTTGGTGGCTTGAGAAAAGATTTGGATTCTTTGTTAGGTGCAACCTGCTTAATCACATTCAAAACTTCAGTTCCTCTACAATAGCAGGCACTAACCTATTCATCGATCTTGACAGTGGATGCAAAAGCTGTAGAACACCTCTTTAATGGCTCCCTAAAGCTAAACCATGGGATTAAAGAGAAACAATGACCATTTCAGATGATGCATAGGTGAGGCTTTGGTACAGTACAAATAAAATGATGTAGTGAATATGAATTAAGACAACTTACTCTTAATCGAGAGGAATCATCCAATATTTTCGAAGCTGAAGAAACGACAAAAACAGCATGAGTATCGAATTGAACACGTGATTACTGAGGGTGAATACAGGAGATCAAGATAAATACAACAAGGAAATGAAAGCAGCGTAAGGAAAAAATATTTTAAAAATCAAATTGAGCAGTACATGGTTTACAAAAGCAAAAAGTTAATGACAGAAACTTGCTGGCTTGCTTAGCCTGACATGGCAATAGATGGAGAGAAAACATATACAGAAGGAATGAGGTTCAATAATGGAATGAAATTGTAGAACAGCCTGACATGCACAGTAAGAATTCAACCCAAAATTGAAAGAACGAGCTGCCTTCATTCACTCTCAATTCATATACTTGTAGAAATAGCAAAATACTTACTATTGCCCCTTCGCATTTCATTTTCTCTACCAACTTTTCCGGTTGATGTTGGCCTATTGGATGATGCCTCATGTGATTTTTGCATGAATGCTCTCATATTGTCTAAAAGATCAATCTCAAGGCTCGCAAGGGAGTAAGAATCGGTATTTCTTGTTGAGTTCGATTGAATAGAACTCCAAACTTCTTCAATCCCAGGAAGTAAATGTGCTTCAGATGGTCTAAATCCTCCATTTACAAGAGACAACTCCTCGGCATTCAAAACTCCTAAGAGCAGCAAACTTGCCATTACAACTTCTAAATCAATTAAACATTGAAATCATACAAGATTACAATAAGAACAAGCATTGATTTATATATGGGGCCTCAACAGCGACTTCTCAATCATCTAAAACGGTACCTGAACTTGTAAAAAAGGCATTATCCCAAGCTAAACTTTTGCGCAGAGCGCACTCATCAATTCCATTGTTTCTTTCTGGTCCGACAGGCTGAGAGGGTACAGACCTCAGTTCCCCGCCCCTGGTTGTGTATCCTCCATTATCTACAATCCGAATGCTAAGCGTCTCCAACTCTTCAGGGTCCAGAACTCCTGAGGAAGCACAACAAAACGCATTCATATTTCCAACTTTCAACCTTCGAAAACAATCGGCAGCACTTGTTAAGAAGGTTTATTCAGCCTAGGAAGAAAACCTGGACTAGTGAAGAAGGCGCTATCCCATGCCAAACTCTTGCGCAAGTTAAACTCGGATTCAGATTGTGAAGCATCCGTCTCTCTATGTCCAGCTCTTTCTCCATGATTCTGCGTATGCTGAGGATTCAGGCTCTGAATCATCTGAACATCAACCTTCTTTCTACTTTCCGAAACTTCTAAAAAATAAAAAAGCCAAGGTCAAAAGTATAAAAGCAACCATTTCTACACTCCAAGATTGAAAGAACAGAACCAAAGAAAACCAACCACGCTGATATGTCCTAATTATTTTCTCTTCAATGGGCATTGTTCGGTGTTTTCCTTTCCAACACCATCGTTAAGACAACTTTTCACTTTGTGACGCAAAAAAAAAAACAAACTTAACAGGACATATGAAAAACAGACTTGTTCTATAGAACAGAGGTGCAAAAATTTCCAGGCATTTCTCGAATCATAAACTGTTATTACAGCAATTCTTGACTCTTTAAATCCATGAAATAAAAGGAAAGAGAAATTCAATAATGCAAAAGCAAAAAAAAAAAAAAAAACTTCTCAAAACACAGGGCATGCAATACTAAGGAAAAATGATTAAAACAAAGTCATAACCAGAAGGAAGAGAACATAAATAAAAAGACAACAAGAACTTGAAATCCATGCTTTCTTGCGAAGGAACAGAGAGAGAACCTGAGAATTGAAACTCTTGAAAACTTCCTTCAGAGGACATTCTTGATGAAGTGGTATTTTTTTTTATCATTCAAAGATTTCTTCTTCAATTCCTCAAGACTGTTTACAAGCAGAGGATATATCTAGGCAGGGGAAGAGACGTTTAAGGAGAGGGAAAATTTTAAAATTTTGATAATGAGTTAAGAAAAATAAATTTTGAGTAATGAGAGGCGTTATTTGTAAAACGGCAGCTGTTTTTTCCCCTCAGGGAGCGGAATAGAAGATTCCATTTTCTCTCGGCGTGATTTTTTCATTTTTTTTTTCAAGATGGCAAAGGTGATATTCTTACAGTCTCGTGGTTTAAGAACCGTTGAGAGTGGCTCATTTACGCGCCATTACTGGCTTGTCCAGCAAGGTCCGATCTTTTTGGCCAGCTCGGGGCCGGTGACGATGAAGGTGCTTGTTTGGTAGTATAATTTTTTACAGTAATTTTTAGTTAAAAATATATTAAAATAATTTTTTTATTTTTTTTAAAATTTATTCTTATTACATCAAAATATCTAAAAAAATAAATTAAAACTAAGAGAAATAAAAACTAGCGGGCCGCTTCTGAAAAGTATCATGAGGTATCAAAATTATGAACGATTTGCTGTCCATCCAAGGCCTCACTCTTCAGTGATTTTTTAACTTGATCATGTTGCATCTTCGAACATTTCTAAAGTAATAAGCAGGAGCTCCTCAATTTGAAAATTTGGCATGGTCTTCACGCTCCTAAAAGTCGCCCAGTTGAGCTCAAATCAACAATTCACCATGACCTTTACGAGGTGAATCTTGACCCATCCACGACAAATCAAATTATTACTATAAAAGAAAAGAATTTGGCCCCTGCTTTATGGAAAATTAAGGAAAGGTGGAGCTTTGCGCCACACGTGCCAAAATTCTATCCCAGGGCTTACGCTTTTTCAAGAGATCCAGGAATGCTATGGATCCAGGTATCTGCCATAGATTAAAGCATTGCTAAACTGCCAATGCTTTCAGCTTTATGGACAAAAGTGCTCTACCTCTTTCGCAGTTTCTTACAGAAGGAAAATCATTCCATGTGACATGCAGATCTACCACCGTAAATGACGGAAAGGCAGAGCATGATTTCCATGATAGAATCTCCTACTCGTCAAGAACATCAACTACAATCCGCTAATAACCTGCTTTACAATGCACTAAGTTGAGACTACTGAGGTTTCTGAACAAGGCAACATTCTACATCCTCCAGACATAGTCAAGTGAAGCTCAAGTGGAAGATACAGAGAAAGATGTTATTATTAGTCTGGTTATTTCCTCAGCAAACCTGTCTGCCGAACATATGCCAGCCATCAACTGCTGCAGCGGATAACTTGTTTGATTCATTACTTTTCTCAGCAAATTCATTGGTTAAATGTGCCAGACAATGCCAGTAGCTGTGTTGTCTCCGTGTGTATCTTCAGCACCAGCCATCTCCTATAATAAAAATTGATCCGTAAACAAACAGAATTTTATACAAGTAATGAAGCAAAACAAGTGAAAAGGAGCAATAGCGTGCTGCAGCAGTGACTGATAAGAAGTCAAAACTTAAGGTTAATCTCCAGAATGTTACAACCATCTAAAAGTCATGCTTACTTTTCATCAAAATGTTTTTAATTTTTGAAAGGGAGAGCTTTAAGGCCGATTCATACTCTTGGCAAATGATGAGTAATCCCAACTTCAGTGAGAGTGCATATTTTCCAATGAAAGACATGCATTCACACAAACAATACATGTATTTCCACCCAAGTGTTCCAGACTCCAGAGACTTGCTACTCCCAGAAGACGAGATGCCTATCTCCTACAATTTTTTTCTGCAAAACTTCTTGGTTTTCAGACATTCTCTCCTCTCATGAACAAATTCAAATATTTAATATTGCTGGTAACTTAGGCATGTGCATTGGCACATGTTTAATTCGGTTCACTGGAAATTTTTAAGATTTTAAAAATACATTTATTAACTATCCAAGCATTACTATTTTGTAAAATAAACAAGGGCATGCATGGATATACCTATGAGTTCTTTTCTTTATTTATTTAGAAAAGGCATTGAGTTATTTAGCATCACCATGATGCACTTCTTGTTTTATTAAAAAAAAAAAGAAGAAAGTAGTAAATTAAAAATATTTGCAAAAAAGGTAAAGTGAAAATTAAAAAAAAAAAAAAAAAAAAAAAAAAAAAAAAAACAATAGCAGCAATAATAAAAGAAGAAATGGCATCAAAACACAAGGGGTGGAAAAATAATGCTTTAGAATGAGAAGGAATTTGATCCATGCCTCCTATTTCTGATGGGAAAGTAAGGTAAGACATCTGAATAAAAGAACAGGTTTGACCAATTATGAAATATTTCTTTATTCAGAATTAGAAGAATAAACATAAGGGAATTTGAAGAGAAAAAAAGACGTGTATTTTACTCTAATCAAATGTTTCCATATAGTTAGTACTTTTTATATATAGATATGGATACTTCGATTATATTTGTCCTAAATCTGCTAACCAGTTCTAAATAAATCAAGCTCTACCAAGAGAGAATATGAAAAGGACATTTCCAATTCAGTTGGAAAATTTCACGAGGCTGCTAATATTTACCAAGAAATCATATGAAGAAGACGTTCCTAGTACAGTACATGTTTACCTGAGTTTCATACCAGATCAACTTCAATATTGAAGAAAAAGAGTTGCATCTTCCTCATCTTGGAATAGAGGTGGAGTTTTAAAAGGAACAGATATAGAGTAGTTGAGCTGGTAATTCACAAGAATCGGACCAAAAATGTTGAACTTGGGAGCACTGCCATAAGCAGCTTCTGCATCTGAACACCTCTTGAAAATTACTCTGGCACGATTGGTATCCCTATCAACTTCTGTCTCGGATTCTTTTAGAGGTCCAAAGCGTCTGAACATCTTATTTAGGCTTATTTCTGAAGGAACAGAATCCACCACAGGGAAATGCATTACAAGTTCTGCCGGAGCCTTCTCATCTACATAACCAGCCGGTTTCTGAGCCGATACATCATAATTGCTATCAGAATATTGTTTCCTAGAGTTTGACCTACCGCTGGCTTTATCCAGAACAACAGGCACAAAAAGATTATCCCTTTTCCTACTCTTACGTGGCGGTTGCTCTTCAGAACCATTTTGAATAACCCGGTCTGTCCAATAAGTGTCATTCATATCCTCGAATTCAAATGTTTCAGGAAAACCACCAGAAGAATGGGATGTTTTTCTCTTACCAGATACTTTATCATGCTGGTCCATGACCACTGAGTTCCTGAAATCAGAGAAGAAACTAATGATGATGTTCAAGAAACCATATCCTTTCAAGGGATCTTGTGCTGTCAAGTGAAGTTGTGATAGCAGATCATCCAGTGATGAGTATTCTGTTGGAACAATTATTCTCTTTATCTCAGCATCCTCAGAATGCAAAATCGAAGCATCAGATCCATCTCCAACAAGCCCATCACTGCTTCCATCTACCTTAGGGCTATTACACTTCAGGATAGAAGGAGACCCAGTCATTTGGCTAGCAACTCTTTGGATGCATTCTCCAATCTTGAAGGAGGGCTTCAATGCGGTTGAAGACACTTTTGCGAAAGATATAGTCTTCCTCCGTCCTGTAATGGATGCATCATCAGCAAAGGTATCGGAGCCTTTTCTTTTCTTGCCAGAAGGGGAAACTAGCATACTGTTTGCTTTCCCATCAGACCCAATTTCATCATCCACAGAATCCCACGAGTCACTTATCAAATCAGACAAGTTTCTCTCCTTTTTCCTGGGATAGATGCTATCCTTCAGATTATGTTTGCGTTTGTGAGAAGAGCCTCTTTGAGTTTGCAAAATCTCCTCACCTGATGAAATTTGCCCATGATCCTCATAAACAGTAGATGTGTGATCAACCGATCCATCCTCAAATTGTAAAGCATCTGACTTCTCCAACAACCCTCCACAAAACTGATATTCAGGCAGTTCAGAGTAACCTTTTAAACGATAGAAGGCCAGCAACTGCGACTTTGCAATCACAAACTCCAATCTATTAGCCCCACCAGCAGGAGATTGTGCTAATGCTTTCATATAATCCACTAATTTATCCGGTTGAAACAAATCAGCACTCATATCTTTGTCAACACCATCTCTTGTACTTGCCTCTGGCCGGATTCCAGTATTTTCAACTACCTGACATTTGATTTCATCGTAGGCATCCTTTGACAGACATGAGCAAGCCAGACCCAGCTCCACTCGTCTGGAAACTTCTTCCAGAGCACAATCAACAGCATTCTGAAATACTTCCGAATTGCTCTGCTTCTCAACCTGAGAGAAGTGTGACCTGAAAGGCTTTAGCAGAGATGATTCATTCCATGCAAATGTTCGGTCCCCAAAATATGCTACTAAATAGCAGTCCTTCTTATGATACCTCATTGCTTTCTCGGAGGCATCTGATGGATCAAATATCTGTCCAGGCCACCAAGGATGACTCCTTACCTTACCCCAGACCAAATCTGATACAGAAAACTCACCTTCATTATCTGGCGGCAGCAGATAACAAGCCTGATCTTCTTTCTCTGGCTTTAACACTGACAATTTAGAAGATTTCTCCTCCATGGTGTTCAGCTGTTCAGTGTCAGTATCCTGTTCTTCAACTTCCATTTCTTGCCCTTGTAAATCAACCTGTTCAGCATCAAGAACATGTAATTCATTTGTCATTTCTTGCCCTGCATTTGAAACAATCTCAAAAGGACCACGAGATGCGCCCTCATCCAAACCGTCCTCGACCTTTAATTGCTGATCGCTTTCAGCAAGCTCCTTGAGTTCAGTTTTGGAATTCAAAGCCTCCTCGTTGCTTGCGGTAACATCTTCCCCCACATCCATGAGCTGGCTATCTGTTTCTGTGCACATGGATGCTGTTTCGGCATGTGAGTTCTGTTCTTCTAGGTTTTTCTTCTCCCCTCCAAGTTCTTTAGCACGAGTAGCCTGTTCTTGAACTTCCATCAGTTGTTCTTTGATTGAATCAACATGAGCAGGATCACCGGGTGCACTTTCGTCTGAACCTTCTTCAGGCTTCAACTGTTGATCTTTTACAGAAGGATCTGGAACTTCAGTATGAGAGGTCAAAACCTCATCGTTGTGTGTCAAAGCCGTTTCAACATCCATTTCCATCCCTCCACATGTTGTCTTAGTCCTTATTTCAGTGCTTCCATTAATGGTCTCAACTTTCTGCTGTTGGCAAGCTGTTATTACTTGCTCTTTCTGTAGATCAGCTTCTTCAGCGTTATTAACTATGCATGCAGTTATTGCTTTT